CACCTGTGGCCTAAATAAGCTAAACCCCCCTCCCTTACCTTATTTAGGCCATATGTGGCCCAAATAAGCACTCCCTTGAATTTTACAGCACTTGCAACATGCAAAAAGGTCATATAAGTGCCGAATATTTGGGTAGGTGTCACTGGACACTGGAAAGTAACAAAATACAATACAAATAAAAGAAGTAGGAGAAATAAGGACGACAGATTCCGTGTTTGATAGGAAAGAAGGAGCAAACCACACCAGAACACACGACAACCACTCACACTTTCTAAAGCTCTTTGTATACTGACAGGTTAGTGGCCGAACGCAAAATATGTGCAAATATGCACCATACTATCTATGCCCCATATCAGGGCAGTGCGACTGACTGAAATTGTCTTTAGGTCATTACCAAAGGGGGGTACTTCTATTAGCATGTTCTTATGCCCAGTAGAATTGTAATTGGGCTGATGTATCAATGCCAAGCACATACTGTGCCGGAACAACATAGGGGGATCTGCTGCTTTTTCTTTCTTTATCCTTACTGTCGTCATTATCCCTCTACTTCTTTTGTATGTTTGTCACTCTCTTGTGAACTGCAGTTTCCAGGGTGCCTTGATAGTCGAAGCAGACTTTGTGCTGTTGAGGTGAGCAGAGTAAGCCCGATTCCCCGTTTCGACTTTTCCGTCGACATACACCCCTTGGCGCTCATATGACCTTATGCAGCTGCGAGCGCCGTAATAAACTAATACTGAGGCCTACTATCTACGCGCATACGTGCCTGTGGTGTAACGGTTCAATAAGTATAGTGTCATGTTTAGTTTAAAAGGAAGAACGGGCTTGTTTTTGAAATTTCTATTGTGCCAGCTCATGGGGATATAAACCTTTTAAAATCTGAAGAAACCAACCATTGGTATTTTTTTACATGTATTTATTAAGTAATTTTCTAGGATACTGCGAACGGGTGTCTGTTAAGACTTTGCTGATCAATCTTTCTCTTGGTCTTCCTCTTGCTTTGAATCCATTGAATCTCACACTGCAACCATTTAAGGCTTTGTTGTCTTTCACTGTACCGTATGCTTGATTCAACGCCTCCTTTATTTTACCTAGATGCCTACGTGTTGTCAGTGATGCCATCATGTCTTTGGTTGTCTCTTCCCTTGATCCATTGCGTCTTTCCAAGACTTCCAATTTCTTTTCACATGCTGTGATGCTGCTTTGTTGAGAGTTCAGATTTGGCACTGGTAACCGAGTTGGTGTGAAAGTTCCAGCAGACATCTTGAAACCAAAATTCGGCCGACATGACCGGAAAGGGGCAAGATTACGATTTTTAAAAAAAAATGGAAGTGTTTTTACGCATACATTGACACAGTTTTGATAACTCAGGAGGCGGGCTTCAGCCCTGCCAGCTAGAGCCAATCCGGGCTGAGAAGGATACAACGTTGCAGTAGAAAGACCGAGATAGTTGATACAAATTCTCCTAACTCAGGTCTCCAGCATGCCATTGCTGGGAAGTGGCAAAGTGCCGAACAGCTACACCACAAACACAAGAAAGTTTGACTATACAAATACATATATACACACATGTGTGTTAATAATAATAATATACGAGATGTGCTGACGACAGAGTTACTTCTCAGATTTTAGCCCGATGGACTTGTTTTTGAAATTTCTATTGTGCCAGCTCATGGGGATATAAACCTTTTAAAATCTGAAGAAACCAACCATTGGTATTTTTTACATGTATTTAGTAATTTTCTAGGATAATGCGAACGGGTGTCTTTGGAAGAGACACTGTCAAATTCATTGACTGATTTTTTTTTGGTAGAGGTTTTACGGCGCTCGCAACTGAATAAGGTCATATGAGCGCCAGAAGATTAGAGGTGTTACAATAGAGTAACAAACATATAAAAGAAGAGATAAAGGGGAGATAAGACGATAGATGATCGATAGGAAAGGAGCAAACCACACCAGAGCACCCGCCAACCACCCACATTCATAGACTGTGTTTCTACATTCCGTAAGTATGAAATAATAAAAACACAACGTAAACCTTGAAGAAAATGGCATGAGTTGATGAAAATCTACAGATTTCACCCCTCTGTCGGTTTTTAGCCAATATTTCCATTCGTAGATCGTGAGAAGTAACTCATTTTGTCAGCACGCCTCACCATATCCCCATTTCATAAGACGTAAGACTTCACCAGTAGCACCCCCAACCCACACACAACTATGGGTATGCCCAGGTGGTGATGAGTTGGCCATTCTAACAAGGAACTAATTATAAAAAAAATATATTCAGCTAGTAGGTTAAAAAACAGAGAGACAAAGACAAACAGAAAAAAAGAATTTCAGCTTAATTTATTGCCTGGGTAACTCCATGCACACATTTAAGTATATCGCGAATACAACGGGGAGCAGCATGCAATGCACCCTCCACCAGGAGACACGTCAATAGCAAGTTAGTCATAAGAAGAGTAGAAATACAACATAATAATAACAGCACGTAATATTACACATGACTGCATCATTCCACGAGGCATACAGATACAAAGAGGCAACAAGGGTTGATTCATAATTCAGGACATGGCTTAAACCGTCTTTGGAAGAGACTGTTGAGACACATTAAAAGCATCAATTCAACTAACAGAAACAATTTATATTCCCCCGTGAGGCAACCCATCTTCTAAACAAGTTCAGGGGATACAAAACCGGTATCTTCACCATTTCATTACCCGGATTCAGTTTAGCAAAATCCAGAGTACTCTAAATTAAATACTTAAAAATTTCTCGATACACAAACTGATAGCACAGCACAAAGAAACTATCACATAAAAGAATAGATAGAGAGACAGAGAAAGAGAGAGGGAAACAGAGACACATTTAAAATATAAACGAATGCATTGAGCCTGAGAAAGAGTAGAGGGGAGAGAGAAAGTGAGACACAGAGAGAGAGAGAGAGAGAGAGAGAGAGAGAGAGAGAGAGAGAGAGAGAGAAATACACACACACTTGGATGAAATATGCTGTAAAGAAGAACAGATAGAACAACAATCAAACAAGCGTCAATTTCTTACTTTGAGCTGAGTTTGAAAAAGTAACACATGACAGCTACCAGGCATGAATGTCATTCAACCATCAATACAATACTGACAACAATTGGTGAAAGAGACGAGGGAACAAATGTGTACATATTTGACAAAAGAAGTCACTTATCACACTTGACTGATTCGAGATATCGGGGAAATAACCTTTGGTTTTTGTAAAACTGTTTTTAACTCTTCATCTTCAAGAGACTTTGGAATTATATAAATTAACTTGATTGGTCTACCCCAAGTGTTTTATTGTCAAAATGCAACATGTGACTCACCTGTGTTGTTGCCACACACATATTGAGGCAAGGTTTCCAACATAAAATGTCCTCTTAATATGTCTTATAAAATGTTGAAAGTAATACAATTTCAAACTCTCAAGTATGTGAAACTAACTTTTAAAAAAGTCCATAATGCTTGATGAAAAAGGGAACACCATTCAATAACACAAAAAAATGTACCTCTCATACTTTTGTTTGCTTAGTAAAAAGAAGCACATCCACAACATGAATGTCATTTTGTGCACGGAAAAAATGGAAAAGTTAAGACAGATAGACAGAAACATAAGAGGGAAAGAAAAGAAGTAGGACCTACCAGCGGCACCTTCCAACCACCTGTGTACCTTTCATCGATGGTCTTTGAAATAATACTTTTGGAGTGAGTCACAATCGTCTTTTAATCCAACATGACACAAACAAACCGTCCCACATCATGAGTATTTTCACGGAATAACACAGAGATAACCATATCCATGCAACAATAGTAAAAAAAACAAACAACAGCTGTACAAGTCAAGAGGTGCATATCACTTTAGAACAAAAGAGTATGATCCCAATCCTTCCATGGACATAACCTTTGACACGAACAACTCTATTATTGGTTTAATTTTTTTTTTAAAGCAAGTATCCACACCAGTTGCAAAGAATAAGTGCATTGCTTACTTAAATTTTTCATTAATGTACAATATTTGTTGAACTTAATTGTTCAAAAAATAATAATAAATTGAGAAAATCCCAGAGAATGGCTCTCCCTGATATAAACCAATCCTTCTGTGTTGGTCTGAAAAATAAACGACAAACTGCCATCCAAAGTACACTCAAAATATTCACTTGATTGCTGTCTCAAGAAGTGAAATCTCAATCCTACCACACCACCATCTCCAGCCACTCTACAGAGTTACTGAGAAGAAGGCGAGTTCCGGTTAAAACAAAACCAAAAATAAATAAAGACACCCAGAATGAGGACAAAACACAATACACTATAACTATATTTTAATCTCATTTGTTCTCCACTGGGTATTTTTAGCGCATCTTTCTTTTGGCATTTCAATTAAGGCTTTTCAAATTTTACTGCATTACATTTTAAAAGAAAAAAGACTTTCAAAATGCGGAAGTAAGTGCCAATATGCTTCTTAGGTAAGTCATGAAAGACAGACATGAAGACAACTCATGCTATTCCCAGTTAGCATATTATGTCAAGGCTTCCGTGTACTGAACCGAATGTACTTTGACAGACTCACAAACACTTAACGGTGCGTGGCAGGATTGAGCGAGCTGCAAACGAGCATATTCAATTTAACAACATGTACTCAATTTGTTGAAATGACTAGTTTCAAACTAAATATATCACAAGGTCCGCCTAGAAATGCATAATAGCTCCAGTACACTTTCAAGGGAATATATATATATATATATATGTGAGTGTACATTTATATGACTTCATTGACTACCTATTTACATATTTATATGACGTGGATCATTGAACCGCAAAGGTACAATTATCCCCCACCCCTCCCTCCTCATTCAGTAAGGTCAAACAGGAGACAGAACCTTTGATTATTTCCTTCCCTTCCTATAGGATGCAGCTAACGGGGCCAGTCACAACAATTATCCAAATAAACAAGCCCTAAAACCCCCCCCACTGAAGACTCAAAGAAGAGGGCCCCTAGTGCAGTCCATCATAATACCAATTGAGCACATGCAGTTTGTAACACTGAATGAGACCGAATTTTGTTTTTATCTCCACATATTTGAAGTAAGAGTGAACACAGTCTTTTTCACAAAATGCAATTCAATGCTGTTTCCATGGGAACAGGGTGTTAAATACAGAAAGAGAAAAAAAAATGGGGGTACATGAGCGTACTTTATAAAAATTCATCTGAAAAGAAATAGATTTGTGAAAGCTAAATAGAACAAGCACTCAAAGTGTGTATAAGTACAGTGGAATTTCTAAAAGAACAACTACATCTTCTTGGTATATATGTATGCAAACGCTAGGCAACTGGAACTCAAAAGTTTACGGGAAAATAAAAATAACTGGGAAACTTTTCAGAGGACTACATAACCGAAAACAAAAACTAAAACCCCATGGTAGCCGATAACAACATTTAAGGATAAGAGAGCACAGAGAAAACACATATTACTACGCACAGCACCAGATCCACCACCCAAGTAAAACATGACACATCACATCTATCCAAACTGAAAAAAATTGATATGATAAATTAAGTCCCATAAACCCTCCAGCCCAGTCAGCCCAACACTTGCAAGATGGCCCACAATACCTGTGCCAGTCTCACATAGCACTGTGACCTCTGAACTTATTTTCAGTATTCAGTATGTGTATGAGTAAGGGATAAAATAAATACAAGCAATCAACATCAACTAGTGTGCTGCACTCAGTTCATTCAATCGTAATGCAGCACCAAAGCAGAAAAGGTTCAAGCACCACACCAATAACACAAACAACGATGTATAATGCAACTTTAAACAAAATTGTTAACAGCATCATTTTCAACTGCGTGAAGTGCTGACAGATTGCAACAACTGTATGGCTATAAATCATAAGTGTATATATACATGACTGGACTGAACATAAAGATAGTTGTGGTGTATTTCTACCTTCTTCAGCCACTGGCTTCAGATCCTGGTTCAAACTAACTGACTTAGAGGGGAGACGAGACACACCTCAGAGAAAACAATATAAATAACAACTGGCATGTCCTTAAAAAAAGACAGGAACTTTTAAAAACTTCAAACTTGGGGAGACATACTCTCCCCTTTCTGACCCTCAATAAACCATCCAAGGGGGGAAAATTTCCTATCATGGAATGATTCAAGTTTCCAGTGTTAAATGTTAAACTGTTGTATTATATTCCATTATATATATACATATATATATACACATTTGATGTCCCAACAAAAAAAATACTACCAACACACCAAAACAAGAAAGGGGAAGTCCCAAGCTCTCCTGAGCATTTCTTTTCAGAGAAATTTAGGGAGACAAAGTCACTGATAGTATAATACAAGAGTGTATATATTTTATCAACCCGATAAGGCTTTTCATCATCTATTCAATATGATTACAAAACATTATCTCCTCAGTTGTTCAAAACACTAGCATTCATTTTCTTGCGTAGGCGACAACATAAAACATAGAAAGTACTTATGTACAAAGAGAGTATGAGAAACATACATGACAACATCAGAATTTTTAAAAAGTGTTTGTTTGAGTGTGCAATGTGTTTTGGAGGGAGACGGGGTTTGTAAATTCAATTGAACACATTTTTTTAACAAGCCCAAGACAATAAACCACTACAGATCTAAGACCTGAAATTTCACTTTTGTTAGAACACAAAACTAAAGTATGTATTTTCGTTTATGTGTTTCCATTAAACCTATCATTAAGTCATTACACGGCACTACCAAACTGTTCAATTAAGGTACGATTATAATTAGCCCAGTTTTATTGAACATTATGGACATAACATTCTCACAATGTGCCTTTTAAAAATTAATGCTTGATTTGCAAAACTTCAATTGACTTAAGAGTAAACTAGTTCCAAAGAAAAAAAAAAAAAATTCAATTCAGCAAACATTTAACTCATTTCATTGCCAACACATGCCGCATGTGTTGCTGTCAAAGTTGTTTCAACCTTACAAAAAGCACCAACAGTTTCCGAGTTCAGAATTAATAAGAACAGCTGCAATATTATTGCAACATTTCACTTTTTTCTTGACTCAATGTCAATTAGTCCAGACACAGTGATTATTACAAATACACATTGAAATTATGAGTACACAAGGGATAGCAATAAGAGATATAGCTTGTGTGCAGTGAGTTAACATCCTAGCTCACGTTGATAAAATGCTTTTCAGACTGATGCGAAATTTGCTTGAATCCATCATGGGCAAAGCAATTCAAATGCAGATGTCATAGAGTATCATCAAGCCAGAGAGCTTGAGGAGAGCAATGATCAGTCAAGAGACAGGCCATAAACAGTTGATACTGAAGCACTGAAACAGAACTAGAGATTCTGAACTTCACATGTTGGCTCCCAATATAAGCAAACCCTTGCTGTCCCTTTAAAAGCAAGTTTGTAAAGAAGATTTGTGACTTTTTATAGAATGTGTAAAAAGCTTTCTGTGCTCCTTCATTAATCATAATAAGTATTGTTAGAAAATTGTGCAGTAAATCTTAAATATAAAACTAAAGACCCAAACCCAAAACTCACAACACTTAGAGACAGTGAGTTGGACAGGTATGTGATAACGCTACCTAGAAAAAAATTCAACAGAGCTACACTGGACAAGCATCGTGTCCTATGGACCAGAAGTCATTAGAAAAAAGGGCATTAATTAACCGTATATCTTTTACCACATCACAGAATCTGATCAGAAAAAAAATATATGATCTGAGCATGAGTGCACCAGAAGTTTATGGGTTTACGGTTTTTTTTTTTGGTGCTCATGACAATATTAATACAGTTCTAGAAACACATGTACAACTGTCGTACAAACACTTTTAAAAAAATACCCACCACCAACACTCAAACAATTAGTAAAGGAAAAAAGAAAAGACTGGGATCAAATGTTGACACTTATGAAACAATTTCAAAGATTAGATTCATAACAATATGAAGATACAAAGACTGGCCAAGAAACAGAAAAACATTTGGAAATGATGGAGAACAGATTATGTGTATATCGACAAAGACTTTTAGGCTCTGCCAACAAATGCTTGTGCTGTGAACAAACTTGAAAAAAGGACAGGAGGAAGACAACTACTGGCGCAGAGATTAAAGATTGGCTCAGAATACTAATTAATTTATAAGTAAAAATACAAATTTGGATTTATGACTACTTTTTGAAATGCACAAATCTCATTCAAAGAACCTACAGAGATGAAACCTCACAACGGTGAGTATTCAAAATATTATTCTTTTACTATATGGCAGAACATTAAAACCCATTTTATCATATTTTCTTTGTATTTCTATTACACTAGCACTACCTCCCTGCTACTGTCCAATTCAGTAAAAGACATCCTAAGTAAGTACAATGTAGTTAACAAACCGGAAAGAAGCACAGAAATGTAATATATTATTTCCATGCAGAGAACAACCAACGTGACAATATAAATCTTCAACGGAACAACAGACTTCATTTTTCAAATCAGCAATTTTGAGCTAAAGACGTGTTTTAAACAAAGTAAAGAGAGAGGTCAATAGTAGTCTTTAGGCAGGCCAAAGTAAAACTCATTTTCAAAGGAAAGTTAAAGAGTGCAAACTAAACTTAAAACTAACACATATTTATGAAGAGAAAAAACAAACCCAATGAAATATGCAAACATAATTATGAAACACCAGCAATCTGACTCCCTCAAAAAGGAATCCAAAATCATGTCAACAAATGCACAGAAGGTAAATTTCATTGTAAAACAGTCTCTTGAACTCTTTTCAGGAACAGAGTTCAACACATTCTTATTCCTGCTATCATGTCTCTGTATTGTCCAGAGACCGAAGCCATATATATAAGTTTCTAAGAGTTACAGAAGTCCACATAACGTGAGCATCAGTATAGCCTTCACTCATATCTCATTGCTTGCCTTCACTTGAATTTACACTTTAAATCAGTCAGCTGTACAAAATTGACCCCGAACAAAGATGGCACTACTTCATCTGACGGGTAAAGACACACCTCAAAAGTGAATTACATGACCCCAAAAAACCCTCAGTAATATTATTTTCTTTTTACAAAAGGAAAAGCAAGATAATTGTTAAGTTGTGACATTTATCTCAGACTGCTTTTAGTGCACTTTTTTGTTGTTGCTAAAAGAATGACTCTTCTTTTTTTACAGCCTATTTCAATGTATCTAACATGCAGTGCACAATAGCAATATATAGTTTTCTTTGTGAGCTGAGACAATAAAAAAAACCCAACCCAATTAAATCTATTTGCAAGCCCACATTTCTCACAGGACAAGCCAATGCAATCTTGTCCATACAATCTCTTTTTCTCTCACACACCACAAAGCCCAAACATTGGAGGCCCATGAGGCATAAGGAAAAGATATCTCTACAAAACAATCTTTCTCTTGACTCTTCCTTGTGGTATCTATCACATCTGTTTTCTCCTAAGTTTAAATAGTAGGACTAGTTTTGCCAGTCAACAAACTCAACAGAGGCTGGAGAGCCACAGATCTGTCAAACCTTTTAAGTCAGATGTTTAAAAAAGAAGAATCGAAATAATAACTAAAGAAAAACAAATAAAAAAACCCAAAACAACAACAAGCAATGATTTCACAGAATACAAAGCATTCATAAAAACCAATCTGATGCAGGCATAACATTTTCCTTTAAAGGGATTCCATAATGTTACCCAAAAACTGAATAACTTAAGAACCCCCAAGAATTTAGAGGACATTAGAATACAACTGCTAAATGCTCGATTTGATTAGCAAACAGCAATAAAATGTTTCCTCCTTTACAGAGTGGCTGTCATTTGCAAGCAAAACAATTTTCTCAACACCCATAAAGGTCAACAGTTTTGAATAAGAATAGTTAACAAAGAAAGGAGAAGTTGAACACAGAAGGCAGCGCCAGATACTAACAATGGGAACTTATATTTTCTTTAAAATATGTTTGCCGATGACTCATATCTCACGTCAACATAGCATTTACACTAAGACCAGAGCATGGCCTCTATACATCAAAGGACGGACAATTTGTGTATAGAGGTTATAATGGATATATATTTATCTGAAAACAGTCCCAATGTTTGCAACGGAGGCCCAGAATGGCAAGGCTTTTAATGGGTGTCATGATCTTTGACAGTTATTTACCTTTGGGTAATATTTGACCACTGCTGAAGAGTACTTTCAAAACCAATGCCACTATTGTCTATCTATTGTTTGTTTTACTTCCTTTTTGGTTGTAAAGGAAGGCCTTTCTGGTACTTTCTTATACAACCTTGAGTAAACTATGCAAGTAAAGCTTCCACATTTTTTAACAACGAAGACAGCACCACCACTAAATCCTAAATCAAAAACTTGTGGTGACACTGACCTCATTTATTTCACAAACAGCATATAATTTGTCAAAGATAAAATGTACTTGGTCATGAAAAATGAAAGAAGTAAAAAATAGAACACACCTCTAGCAGAGCACATTCCATAACAACTTGCAATATTTAAGCCATCAACAGTTCAGAACAGCAACATACCTTTTAACATAGCTAGAGACATAACGGCATTTTGATTTTGCTCAAGATTGACAGCCACTCTGCACAAAACAATGAAACATACAAATCAAAGTCAAATCTACACTACTTAATCATGACATTTGCCATTTGCAGCCTTGACACCATTCTGATGGGTACCTCCGTTCTCCTTGGTGGAGCTGAAGCCATTCTCTTTGTGCGTGGCACCATTCCCATTCATTTTCTTGTCGCTTGGACGTTTTACTCTGGAGTATGGGCCAATCTCGGGATCCAAGATGAAGTCCCAGATGACCTTCACCCATGAATGATGGCATGGCAAATTATCATAATACTCCGGGGCAATCTCACGAACCTGAAGACGACAAGTACAACAATAGTTTGTTTATACGTTTGAGCAAACAGAAGCACAACAACACAATAAAATACCATTGGTCATTTACTGCAGTGAAACAATTATTACAACCACAGACAAACGGAGACAAAAGACATGGCAAAAAAAAGGAAGACCTACCAGTGGCACACCCTCCACCCAACAGCACGACAAAAGTATGGAAGTAGTGTTATAATAAAAGCAGTAAACCAGGAATAGGGAGGATAGAAAAACCTGAAGGTCACAAGAGATTGCAAAAACCAAGGCCATTATATAAATATGCATACCATCAAAAATATTTTAAATGCCTACCTCATCAAGTAACAAATCAATTTTAGCTTAGGAAGACATCTCATTGGCCAGGAAAATCAAAATACATTGCCCCGGTGTGAAATCAATTTCCACATTTAGCAATCCGAACAAAAAGCCAATGATAATTTAATATGAAGTATAAAGAAATCCAACCCTTTTTAAACTTCCCCCCAATTTTTTTTTTCAAAAGCTGCTCTCACTTTCTCCTACTAGAGAATCCATTTTAAAAGTATGCAGAAGATGACACAACATGACAGTTAAAAATATTAATTATAATGCCGAATAATTTGAGAATGTAAGCTTCAAGAATTATGAAAACTGAGAGTATCAAGTATCAATACAGTGCACTTGTCAAGATAAAAAAAAATTAAAAGTAAACAACATCCCAATATGGGATCTGTGGAATTCAGGCGAACCTGCTCTATGGGTCATTTGATTATAAAAGATTATAATCACCTGTACAAATGGTCACGTTTCATCTGCCCCACTTGCAGTTTTTTTCGCCCCATTATCATGACACTATGCACGATGGCTACTTTTCCTCCCATAAAATGGTTTGCCATCTTTAGACAATTTTGATTGTCCCAGAATACCTTTACACTCAACACTATCTGAGGTTTTAATAATTCTTGTTCTCACTGAAACACATGCCCCCTTTCAACAGTTTTTGTCTCCCAACAAAATACAGAGAATGCAGATTGTAATCAATAATCTGGCTCTTTTGTTTTCCCATTATATATCCTTACTGGATAAATAAATACAGTTGAACCTGTGTGTAAGACGGAATCACTTGGGAGCCAGAAAAAAAAAATCAGTCTTAGACATTTTCTGTCTTAGACCAATTTAGGGGGAGATGGAAGGGGGTTCCAGAGGCCCAGCCGGTGGGATCAAGGGTCAAAAGTTCAAACTTATCAAGTGCTATCCTCTCTGATACTGACATTTGTCAGTCCTACTTATCACTTGCCACCAGTGCTTGCATTTCATAAGGACCACGGTTTGACCATTAAAAACAAACATTTGGATGTCTCCTTCCCTTCCATCCTTAGCCCCATCCATTGGTGTAATTAGCACAGTCAACGTCCACTGCCATCCCTCCTGTGCGTGCAATAATTATTTAAGGAACTTTTTTCTTGGCTGGCCATATGATCAGGGTGGCAGGCATTGGTCAAACTAATTTTACACCTCTGGCTACTCATGGAACTTTCTGTACTGGAGTGCCACTCGAGCACTTTCATTTCACAGGCACGGGTGAGATTTCATACCCCACATCACCCTGACCATTTGAACTGCTAACTTTTGAAGGGAAGTGACTTTCTTTCCCTTTTGTCTCCACATTAGACAGGTTCCAATCTTAGAGGGGTAATTGTACGGAATCCGTTATGACAGGTTTTGTCTACACAGGTATTCGTTTTTTAAGCATCTTGCACGACATTCTGCACACAGATTTTCTTTTCTTTACTTCTCGAAGACTTTAGAGTTATAAACACTGCACTTGCAACACACTTAGGTCATTATTAAGTGCCGAAGACTAGAGATGTCAGAGGTGCTACTAGAGAGTAACACATGTGTACAAACTAAAGAAGGAGGAATAAGGAAGAGTGTTTGATAAGAAAGAAAGAGCAGCTAAACTACTAGAGCACCCCACCAACCACCCGTACACAACTTTTCATTCTATGAATTCTAACACTTAAAAAGTCCAATGCAATGTGCAGTGGTGAATGATGATGTGGTGCTTCTCTGAATGAGCTGTGGTTTTTCTTTGAATTCTAAAGAATACGTCTGTGCAATGGTAAAATAATTTTTAAGTTCAACATATTATTACTCAATGTTTTCTGATGGGACTTTGTCCAAAATTTTATTTGAAACGATAAAAGGAAGAACCAATACAGATGTATGCACAGCCGACCAGTTCTTAAAAACAATTTAATTCTCCAGTCCCTTTCCTATTGAAAGCTCTATGCCTATTGCTCTACCTCATCTCGGTACAATTCTAACAGCTCTGAGATATTCAGTTCTTGGACACTAAAACAAAGCAAGTCTCTGCATCATTAGTATCTGTAGGACTACAACCACAAAAGAAACCAAAAAATTGGTTCACATTGCATTTTACTACGTCTCCTATAGCTACAAGCTGAAATAGTTTGCTTGGACCTCTTTGTTGATCATTTCAAACATAAAATTTAAAATATCTTACCTGGGGCAGCCTTGAGCCTGGAATGCTGGGGAAATCGTGGTGCTCATTGTGGTAACCTACATTCCAGGTCAACCAGTTGAGGGGGCCGTAGTACGAATATGTCTCGTATCCTTTCACAAACATGTAATGCTCCGAGATGAAATGGCCAGCCATTGGATGAAGACTTGTGGCCATGAAGCTGCCAACTACCAAGTACGCCAGAGCTTTGATTCCCCAGTTGTACCACAACAAGTAATCAAATGCAAACTGAAGGACAATATTAAAGGCCTCCAGTGCACCAAGTGGTTTTGGATTGATGAAGAAGGGCCGTATTGAGTAGAACCACGGCTGCAGGCACACCCAAACGAACTTATATAGGGTCCGAGTAAACAACTTGGTCTCCATGTATGAAGGAATGTCCACATCTTTTTCTTCATCACCTTGGTAACGATGGTGATCCAGATGATACTTTTTAAAAGATATCGACATTGGGACACCAATCGGAAGGTTTACAAAGAATCCAAAAAACCTGTTGGTCAGAGGCCTTCCATGTCCAAAAGCCAAATTGTGGGCAATTTCATGAATTGCCAAAGTGAGTGAATGATTAATAGTTCCACCAAATATGTATGCAAAAGCAAGCACAGTGATCCAAGACTGATCCTTCATGGCATAGCACACAAGCAACTGAAGTATGACCATGGCAGTGACAATGTACTTGAAACGTGGATCTGAGCCCATCAGCTTTTTCATCTCTGGATATTTAGCTGGAAAAGACCAAAAAAAAACCCAACTAAATTAGCACACATATGATTGATATATATATATCTATCCGTATAACACACAGACAACCCCCCCCCAACAAAAAAGACAAAGAATAATATTCTCGATCCTAAGTCATGATGGGATATTTTTTAAATTTAATAATTTCCAGCCCTATCTCTTCACTCATGCAGCCCTCATAGCGAGCACAAATTGGTACCCATATGATGTACCAGACAGCACCAAAGTTTTCCTCCCGGAATGGTTTGTGTGAGTGTGGCCTTTGATAGCGGAAATTGGTTTTTTATTTACACTGTAATAAAAGAGAAGATCTTTGAAGAATGTAGAGCAGGTCTAGCACGATTGTTATTATGGTTTTAATGTCGCCATGATGAGGATTCGGGCGATGAATTTATAAGATCTAATGTTTTTAATTCCGATTCTGATATTATATTGATGACATTAAGATGTAACCATCACGGTCAATTTTCTCCATGTGTGTTTAAAGTTTCGTTATATGATCAGGGTGTTTTTTTGCCAAGATACAGAGAGTACTGATGTTTCCCATCTCTTGTTTAACAAGAGCGGGTGTATGTCTTTCTAAAAGGAAATCATTTCTGTTTTGTGCTGCTATACTGGTGTCAATCTGCATCCAATGGGGTAAAGTGAAGGCTTCTTACCATAGCCAATCGGCACCACGTGGGGTCAAAGTGTTAAGTTTGACTGTTGTTTGTTTAAAAATATTGTGCCCCAGTTGGGCCAGTAATCAGGCTAGTTTACTTGTTTCATGAAACTATTGGCTGCCTAAATGATCATCCACTACCAAATTCACAATGAAATATGCTTCTCCCTTCAGGGCTCAAGAAATTTCACTGAAATGAACTACTGAACTCAGTACAAATACTTTTAATCTAATTCTACCAATTAAAAAGAAAAAAAAACCCAACTAAAGAAACTGAGCATAAAATGGTCTCCCAAATTTATTTTGGACAAGTTTAGAAGATTCACTACTGGTCTTAACACTAGTCACCAGTTAACTATTAACACTTTGTAGTCAAGCAGCTGGCAGTGCAAAATACCCCACCTGGTCACCCAGTCAATAGAGTGACTGCAACAGAGGTCTCAGGCCTGGTGCAGGTGACCAGAACAGATAATTTCCACTGTCGCATTTTGCGCCAAGTGACCGCAAAGTGTCAACAACCTAACAAATAGATTTTGTTCACTTGAAACACCCCTTAAGCAAAATTAGCGACTTCCAAAAATTATAAAGGACTGTCACTGCCTGTCACTGTCCATCACAGGATCAGTTCCACAACATTTAAAAGATTCAGTTCAAGACTAGGCCTCCAAAAAGCATTAAAAAATATTCCTGTTACTTTAAGTAACCCAAAAGCATTGTCTGACCCCAAAACTTGTGTGTGGCTTTGTCATATATATATATATATTTGAATTTGGGAGGACTTCCGTAACAAGCAACCACTCAATGAGACAGAGTAGAATAGAGGGGCAGGGGTATGGTTTAGGGTTTGGTTAGGTAAGGTCTGTTCTCTATTGTGTTTGTTAGGGTGGTTGCTTGTTACGGAAGTCTTTCCATGCACATATATATAATAAATAATTGACTGCGACAGCTCAAATCGAACAGTCTATCATAATGATCAAATATAATGCAGAGTTGATAACATCCAGAGTTGATCTTGAATCCTTGACTGAGAATATGCATTGAAAGATGTGAACTAAAAATAAAAGGCGGGCTCTATTTCTCCAAACGCTCAGGAAAATAAACTTGAACTCCATTTCTCCGAACGTTAGAAGAAACAAAGGTCAAGTTTATTTCCACGAGTGTTCGGAGAAATAGTCACTTTGAAATAAAAATGCATTAATATTTAGCCTAGATTCTAAGTCGACTTCTGCTGAGCCCCCAGAGCAGGCCTTGCCTTAGAAAAAATAGTGGTGTTTTCTTTGAGCGTGTTTAAGATTAGAAACTTTCGAGAAAATAGCCTAGTTTCCATCTACGGTCTTATTCTCATCTAAATAAAACATAGATCTTGAGTCTATTGCAGAAGAAGATAGGCTTACTTACTGCACTTATTTAGATCAATCAAATTTTTATCTTCTATAGCCGTATTGGAAGGACTTCCGTAACGAGCGACCCCCCCACCAAACACAATAAAGAAGAGGCCTAACCCTAACCCTAGATCTACCCCTACCCCTAGCCCTCAATTTTGCTCTGTCTCATAGTGGTCGCTCGTTACAGAAGTCCTCCCGCCGTATCGGTGTGTCTTACATCGATTATCCATTGCCAGTTCAGAAATCCCCCCCCCCCACCTTGACCTTTTTGTAATTTTTGCAACGTGTTTTACGGCGCTCGCAACTGCATAAGGTCATATGAGCGCGCGGGACACACCTAATATTTTCAGTTGGTAGGAAATTTTGAATTTTGCCCGGGTGGCGGCCGAAGCTTATGCTTATCGATTTTAGACCACCAAGGGATCTTTAACGTGCGCAACTTGCAAACGGCCCCCCCCCGAGATTTTTCGCCCTTGTCCGAGAAGGCTAGGTGTAGATCTTTCCTACCAGAAGATCAGGGGTGTGGCAGAAAAACAGCAGTAAGGAGGAGCCATGGAGTAGCAGTAGAAAGGCTGCAGAAAGAGTCAGGAGCCTAGAGGAGGAGGCAAAGGAGGTGAGGGGGTGGGGGCAGAAAGTGGAAATGAAAGCAGACAACAGAACATTGCTAGAGAGCAGGAAAGGAGGTGAAAGGAGACAATTTTAGAGAAGAAAATTTTTCTGTCGCTACCCAGATTCGAACCCGGGACCTTTGAGTGAGAGGCCAACACCTTAACCTCTAGGCCACAAGAGCCCCCTTGACTTGATCTGATTCTAATACGGATTATAAAATATAATGAGATAGATCTAGATCTAGAGATAAAGGAGAGACTTTGCTTGGCAATCTACTTTACTTAAATTAAAATATATTTATATATATATATATATATAGATCTAAGTCCTTAAAATAATGGACTTAAAAATAACGAAGTGGCTAGCCGTACTTAGATCTAGGTTTGGCCCTGACTCAATCCTGTAAGTACATGATGTGATAGGTCTCATTAGATCCAGATCTAGAAATTATTCAGGTTCAAATACATGCAAGTCACTTAGTCAGTAAGGCACCTTTTGGTTTTGTCTGAAATACAAATACTTTAGGCATTGCAAACAAAAAATTTCATTTACAATTCAGCCATCAATATTAAGTACGGCTAGCCTGACAGTCTAGCCGTCCTTAAGTACGGCTAGCCTGGCTGTCTACCTGTACTTAAGTACGGCTAGACTGCCAGTTTAGCCGTACTTATCTTAAGCCCTATTAACATTAGAAACAGGAAGTTTAAAATACATGCACTGTCATTAGGGCACCTGGTTTCGTCTCAAATACAAATACTTTAGGTACTGCACACTAACAATTTATATTTACAATTCAGTAGGCCTATTTTTTAAAAATGGTCAGTCTACCAGTCTAGCCGTCATTAAGTACGGCTAGCCTCTTCCTTAAAATAAAGGAACGGTATTTTTTTTACCTTCCCTCCTGTCTCACACTTAGCTACCAGTTGTCCATTTTCTACTAAATATTGAAGCGCTGAACACGAATATCAACTTCATTTCTGTCGCAAATTTATAGTCTTTGAAATATTTGATTGTTCTTAATCGAGATAGACGTGCTTTGGACCAATCGGCGAGTTCCAATATTTTACAATTAGATTTAAAGATTAGATTTGAAATTTTCCTGAAAATAATTGATTTGCGAGTTATCTAGTATTTTTAAGTGTGATCTGCAGCAAATGGTACTGCAGTTTGACCCCCGAAACAGTGCTGTGTGCGGGAGTGAAAGTAAAAATTTACAAAAGGAACTTTAAGTTTTAGATACTAGAGTCTAATTAATCTCTGGAGGTGACCTTATATTTTAGCACGTTAAATTCTTCAATTGAGGACTTCCGTAGCGAGCGACCTCATCTAGATATTAGCATCTAGATCTAGATCTAGATCTAGATTATACTCATCAATGGCTTCCAAAATCATAATAGAAGACCAAAAACCAATGTTATACCATCTGTCCATAACAAAATTACGGTAGTTTGCGCATTTTAAGGCCCAGCTCAAAGTTTTGAAGTTCTATCTGAGTCGGGGATTAATAGACTTTGGGAATTTAACGTGCTAAAGTATAAGATCACCTCTCTAGAATCTAATCTAGATGTAGATATCTAGAGATCTAGATATCTAGAATCTAGATCTAAATCTAGAATCTAGATCTAGATTAAACGAACTCAAGACAAGAACCAGAATCTACACCATGTCCATGATTATGATTGAGGAGAGTTTTGACTCCGAAACTAGATCTAGATCTAGATCTAGACATCTAGATCTATATCTAGATCTAGATAGTAGATAGATCTAGATCTAGATAGTAGATAGATCTAGATCTAGATCTAGATCTAGATCTAGCTAGTCTAATCTAGATCTAGATTCTTTATTTATTATACAGAATCTGCATCAAAATTAGGATTCTAATTCAAAAGTTATTATTCAATAGGGAAGGACTTCCGTAATGAGCGACCACCCCATCAAAACAATAAAGAAGAGGCCTAGATCTAATCTAGATTTAGATTCTAGACCTAACCCTACCCCTCCCCCAAGCCCAAGCCCTCAATTCTGCTCTGTCTCATAGTGGTCGCTCGTTACGGAAGTCCTCCCTTCAAGGCTAGTCTGGGTCTGGTAGATCTAGATCTAGATTATAGATCTAGATCTAGATCTAGATCTAGAGAAGTCTAGATCTAATCTAGATCTAGATCTAGATCTAGATTCTAGATCTAGATCTAGATCTAGATCTAGGTGGAGCTCAGAAGTCAGTGAAAGTTATGAAACAGAACACTCACCCAACATCTCCTTCCTTCGGGAAGCGTGCGGTTCCTCAGTATAAGACCACTCAAAATCGGTTCTTGTAATACTAGCACCCATGATGACAGGAAATCTCCGCAGTAGGTTCCAAAATAATAAATCCACTGTTCCCGTATTCAACAAGTGTGTCGAACTCCTACTCTTGAGAAAGCCGGGTGCGACTGATCAGCGGATACACCTCACCCTGTGTTGATAAAGGAGGCCAGGAGCCAGGAGTGTCTCACACCGCCTCAGCCCACTTCCTAGCTAGTAGCTAGCCTAGCCTTGAAGGCAATCCTTCATAGATCGACTAGCTTTTGCAATATTTAAAGTATCGATACTTAAGTTAGAAACAATTCCCAAACAAAGAACCATATACATCAATGAAAATATTTGGTCACTTCCAAAGACAGTCTACATAATCTTTAAAAAGCACAGACCTGTCGATTTAGGTTCATTTGAACTTTCAAAACGGCTGGAAAAAGCAAATAAAAGTATTCGTATCGTTTCCATCACAAGTATTCGGTTATAATATGCATATTCATTAGGGGCGTTCATTAGTAAACTTTGCGATTTAACTCAACGAATGCTGCTTCGTATTTCTCTGAAAGCACAGTTTAATAGACATTTAAAGTGTTACGAAAGGAAATTCAATTAAATTGTTTAGAATAATGGTGTGTGCTTGTATACTTCTGTCGAATTGTTTGTATTTTCTTTCTCTGTTCTAGGTCTATGGACCCAGTTTCCTAACGAACGCTACCCCATGACTACCAGTGCGTAGCTCTCGTCCGTCGACGCGGAGTGGGGAGGTTGCGCACCACCCGCCCAAGGCCTACACACACAGTCACTCACAGTAGGCAGACCTTGGCCAGGCACACACACACATACACACACACACACAATAAACAAGCCTCAAAATGGCGTCGGTTATAGGTTCGGAGGTGGAAATTCAGGAGGTTGAAGTGGAAGCCATACCTGTGGAAATGCCTATTGAAACTGTTGAAACATCAGATGAAGTGTCGGTCCAACCGATGATAGCATTGCAACCTTTACCAGAAACGGCTGGAGAAGAAATTGTGTTGCAAACTCGTGAGGAAGTTGTGGGAGATCCAAACCTTGTGTACGCTGACACGATTCCTGTTCCTGCTCCAGAAATAGAGATTTCAGCAGAAGAAGTTATTCCAATGAAAAAAGGAAAAGGTGGGAAAAGGAAAGGAAAGTCAAGAAACGTTGTCCAAACGAGCAATCTTGGTGTCAGTGATTTAGGACTTGGCGATTCATCGGTGAAAAAATGGGAACAGAAACAGGTTCAGATCAAGACACTGGAGGGTGAATTTTCTGTGACTATGTGGGCTTCGGGTACGTACATTTATGTATTTATGGATTGCTGTTTTGTGGCCATAATATGGAAGATGTTGTAAGTCGTTCTTGGGTAGTTTTTCCATTAAACATGGCTGTATATCCGCCTGATATAATGGCTAGGGCTGATGCCGCTATAATGTTAGATCCTATCATGTTCAAGTTTGTCTGTCGTCCTTTCCTTTGTTCAGCACGATATATTTCGACTTTTTTGGCCTACTCCATGTCTGTTGTTACTATGGGAACTGTTATTCGACTGTTCTTAAAACCCTTTTCTTGATTTTTCTCTTGTTTTCATGCGTTTGAACGCCTTTGTTTTGAAACTAAGTCGGCCATTACGATTCCATGGGCGCCGCCATATTCTTAGCGAACATGGCGGAGGCGAAAATGGAAGATGGCGACCGGCCGCCATGTTGGTATGTGGTGGACTTGCTGTTGTGTAATATGCGAAGGAAATTTGTTACTACCGGAGGTCTATCTATTCTTAACTGAATAGATAATGTAACTCATGTGGTGATTTGCATACTTCAATAAGAGATACCGATTGAAATGTATCAAAGGTCATCATATGTTCTAAGTTTGTTTGTTGTGACCTTGGTTCACCTTGAAAAATTCTTAACTATGAAGAAAACGGAAGTGTGAAGTACGTAAGATGCTATAAATAGTAAAAAATACTCGTAAATTCCCAACACCAACATAATCTACTTTCGATATCAATGATGTATTTATAACAATGTTTCTATTGAGATGTAGGCCTACGGCAGACATCTGGAAGAAATAAAAAAGCGTGTTATTATGTCACTTCACCAAAAGAAAGTGTGCTGAATTGATCTAGATCTAGATCTAGATCTAAAATCTAGATCTAGATTCTAGATCTAAATCTAGCTAGAGTTAGAGTCTAGACTAACTAGAATCTAGATCTAGATCTAGAAATCTAGTCAGAGTTTCGGTTTAAGGAGTGTATACAGACCCGGTAAAAGCGAACTAGATCTAGATCTAGATATCTAAGTCATGAAGTAGGCCTAGGCTAGGCCTACAGACTCGGTAGGCTGGGGAAATCTTTCGTGATTTCGGAAAGTTTCAGCGCCCTCTTCTTGGCTCAGGGCAGACGACAAGTCATAGATCTAGAATCTAGTTCTGAGGCTTAGATCTATTTCAATGAAGATTATAGATGTCTTTTCAACGCACGATCGTTTTTCCTCCGTTTTGGAGTTGGAGGAATCAATAAGAAAATTTGAAGAAAAGAATAATGTCACAATTTCAATCCAGCCATCAGCCTTTCTATTTCTGTCTCTCTCCCCTGTTTCTTTCTCTCTCTCTCTCTCCCTCCCCCCCCTCTCTCTCTCTCTCTCTCTCTCTCTCTCTCTCTCTCTCTCTCTCTCTCTCTCTCCTCTGTGTAGCACTCACCTTCTCTTTCTCTTTGTTTGTCCCTGTCTTTCTTTCTCCCCCACCTACTTTCCCACTCTGTCTTTCTTTCGTTCCCTCCTGTCAACTGGGGCATGTGATATTTGCTAGCATCTCTCTCTCTCTCTTTCTCTCTCTCTCTCTCTCTCTCTCTCTCTCTCTCTCTCTCTCTCTCTCTCTCTCTCTCTCTCTCTCTCTCTCCTCTGTGTAGCATTCACCTTCTCTTTTTCTCTTTCTCTTTGTTTGTCTCTGTCTTTCATTCTCCCCCACCTACTTTCCCACTCTGTCTTTCTTTTGTTCCCTCCTGTCAACTGGGGCATGGGATATTTTCTAGAACCTCTCTCTCTCTGTCTCTCTCTGTCTCTCTCTGTCTCTCTCTCTGTCTCTCTCTCTCTCTCTCTCTCTCTCTCTCTCTCTCTCTCTCTCTCTCTCTCACACACACACACACACACACACACACACACACACACACACTGTATTGGGTCTGGGTGCTGAAACTTTCTGAAATCACAAAAGATATCCCCTACCGAGTCTGTATACTTCGTGACTTTGTTCCCAGTTACTGGGTCTGTATACACTTCGTTCGCTTTACAGTCACACCAAGGTAGCCTACAGTACGCATGGCACCAACGACAACAGCAAAGTTAAAATTTTTAAGTTAAAGTTTAAAGTAAGTAAATTTTAAAAAATGGGTTAGCTGACGCTGACCGTGTTGTTGGGGGGGGGGGTATTACTGTTACAATAATTAGTGTTTGTACCCTTTTTGAATGGTGTGAGTATTCTCACTTGGGGTAATACTCCACATATATTATTAACGAAGTGACTATTTCTCTGAACGCTCGGTAAAATAAACTTGATCTCTATTTCTCCTAACGGTTTCTGTACTCAAGATTTTTGGGTTTTTAGTGAGATTTAGGCGTCATCTTTCATTTATGCCCTTCACAAGGACTGGAAAGAAGCTTTTTTTTTGTGTGTCGAGTTACACATTTTTAAATGTCTGAATATTCAGATATTCAATTGTGGTTGGGGCAACGTTCCCGGACTATAATTCATTTGAAAATGTCTTGAAAGGGTACCGCGAGAAAACAAGAGCTCGACCTTGGCAGTAACCTATTTTGCATATATAGTCACACCTGAAGCAAAAACTAAAATCTTTCATGTAAACCCCCCCAAAAAATGAACCCGCCCCATTCACACCTTACACGCATGCGCGCTCGGGTCACTCCATTCGCAAATTATCAACAATAAATCTCGAGAGCGGAAACCGGTTCAGAGAAATAGATTTCATGTTTATTTTCCGGAGCGTTCAGAGAAATCCAAACCTTTCTCAATCTTTTAACCAAATCCGTAACAGAGCCTCAAAGCCTTGTGCACAGCTGACACCGATTCAAAAGACATTCAACAGAAATCACACATAGACATCTTCATCTGAAATTTTTTCCTCATTGTTTTCAGCAAAGTGGTCCTCTAAATCGCCCATTTTGCTGTAATTTTGGTTGAAATTGAAAGAACAACAACACTACAATGCGCTACGGTAGTCCCATAGTTGTATTCTCAGACCGGGTGAGAATAATCTCACGCCAGCCCGACACTCATTGGCCTGATTTCTGTTTATAAGGCCTAATCGTGAAAATAAGTAGGCCGAGTCTCTTTTTTGCTCAGAGAAATTAATATTACTGCTGAATTGATCGTTATGATTATTATCGATGATTTAAATAGATCTCTGCGTAGACTTAGTGTTGACTTGTCATAACATTCATCAGCTATCACTTAATTAAAGCGAAATGATATTGTTGGCTCTTTTAACTTTGGAGGGAATAATTATTTGTTAGTATCATTTTTTAGGCTCTTTTCACCACAGATATAAGGCCAGTTTTTGTTTATATAAAATTATAATTATTTTTGTAAATTAATGTCTTCTTTTTTTTCAGAGGATCAGTCAAAGTTAGATGAGGAATCTGTTGCTGGTGATTCTGATGCAGACTTCACGGAGTATATGACTGGGAAAAAGTTGCCCCCTGGTGGAATTCCTGGCCTTGATCTTAGTGACCCCAAACAGCTGGCAGAATTTGCCAGGTAGCTATATTAATAATAAATTATTGAAAATAGATTTTTCTCTTGGCCACCTCTATTTTCACCCCGGCCTTTTGGCTATTCTCACCCGGTGTTGATTTGTCTTATAGTAATTGGAAAAGACATGCTCCTAACGTGATGAGAATACACAACTAGTAATAATCACAGTTGAAAGAATAAGATACAGGAAGTAAAGCTTAATGATTAGCATTCTGATCTAGTGAAGTTAATATAAGTGTGATAAATGGTATTTAGAATGAGACCTATATACTTGGTGAGCTGATTAACTCTTTCGGGATGTATCGCTGATACATTATTGACAAGAGTCTGCACCCCTTACAGACGCATTGCCGGTATACCAGCAACGATGGGGTACCTCAGTTTTGTTTTGTTTTAACATATTCCATCATTTAAAAGGACTTTGCTGCCCAAAAAACTTTGAAAGGATTTAGGAAATGAAAACATCTAGTTTCTCTTTGTGAAAGCTACAGTTTGGCGATAAACGATTGAATTCATTCTTGCAGTGTTGCAGCATCAGAACGATGTAACTGGACTCCGTAGAAATATCATAACTCGAACATTGGAATACTGTTTTCAAATAAAAAGAGGCGCATCCTGAAATGTATGGGTGTCTGTACCTGAATACATAGCTATGCTAATTTACTTTCAAATGTTTAGTGAATGTAGTGTACATTTTTTCTCATCATCACCCCTTTTAACCTTTTTTGTGTATGCATGCCTATGTTACATGTTTGTTGTTGTTGTTATCGTCTACATAGATTCCTCACTATATTTTGCTTCTATTTTATACATCACATGTTGATGAAGTTATTTTGTATGGCCAAATTGAGCCAAAAATTAATTACGTCAGACCCCAAAAAACTACATCCGGAAAGAGTGATGGTAAAGTTTATGAAGATGCGAAAACATGCTTCTTTTAACAGGATTAGTTGGGTTTCATTTAGATGGAGGTATTTTATTAACTTTGCTTGAATCCAGCGTTTGTTTCGGTGAGGTGTTTGTCTTGGTTTTTTTTTTTTCTTATTTTTGTTGGGACAGGATAAAGCCGAGGAAACCAACAGATGATGTACCAAGGACTGTGCCTTGTCCTCATAAGGTAAGAGATGGAAATAGTTTTCTGTAATTTCTGTAACAATGCTGATGCTTAGTTCAGTGAATGTGAAGCTGATGAAGTCTTTCATCTCTGTTGATTCTGCTCTCACAATTGTTGTGGACTGAAGGACTGCTACTGTGCAGTACTGGACCCTGGTCTGCATTATCTCTGTAACTACATATATATATGCTTCTAGAAGATTCTCTACTTCAAATATAAAGATATTTGGGGATACTTTAGAAAATATATTGTAACCCATATTGTCCTCCTTTAGTGTACCTTGTCCAAAAATATTTATCACTTCCATCGTGTGGGTTTTTTTTTTCCTTTTTAATCATGCTAAAATTTCCATTCATAATGTATTTATTCTGTTTACAGCCTATAGAATCTTTTCTCCTCTCTTCATCGACAACCTTTCTTTGACCTGGAGTTGGGACGGGTATTGGTGGGGTGGAAAGCAGAGGTTCATTGTCAGCACTGTACTGGATGTGACTGTACGTAGGGAATACCCAGCTACATACATGTATTAAGCATGCACTTATCGGAGAGCCCTATGACTGCGGAGAAGGTGCAGAGACCATTTGCGTCTTGCTTGTTGACAACATTTACCCTCTGGGATCTGCCATGCCTTCCCATGCCCCCATCTCTCGGATGAGAGGACTTGGTTGCTCGGGTAGGAGGGGGGGAAATCTAGCTTCCAATTGGTATTATTATTACTATTCGTATTATTATTATTATATTATAATTTTTGTATTTCAGCAACACACAGCAACTATGCTCTTAATAGCGTCTTTCTCTTCTTTATCTCCTCAAACAACTTCTCAATATAATACAACAAACACCAACATACCCATTCATTTTTCTTACAATCTCTCTGTGATGGAGTTGGGTTTTTGTTTGTGGCATTGCACCTACAGCCACTGCTTTATCTCCTACCCCGGGATGGAAGGAAAATCACAGAACCACCAGTTTTAGATGCTATTCACAACAGCCTATAGAATATTTTAGATCTTAATATAATGTGCCAGTTTTGTCCATTTGATGGTCATTGCAAGAAATTCCAAATAGTATCAAAACGCCGTACTGGGGGAGTCGGAGCTATCAAGACTCAAGACTTGCTGTACTGAGTGGGCTGACTGGTCTGTTTTGCCCAAACACATTCTTCAAGAGGTGACTGCCATGAATGCACACCTCAGCTTCTGTGTATTGTGTCCTTTGTGTCCTAGAATGTATAATGCACATTTTTAAAAGCTCATAAGCTGTAACTCAATTCAATAACAACTGAACAGAAAAGATAATTTAAGATATTATATGGAAAGCACAGTCAAATACAATTTGTTTAATCAAATGTTGTCAATATAGTAATCAACTATAACTAAAAGAAAATGAGATTTGAAACATAACCTGAAAACACAAGTAAAGGATGCTACACCAAAATTCAACACAATACTCAGAGGTTAAAGGTTTTAAAATACTTTTACTGACAGTTAACACAACAAATTAGTGCAACATGAAATTCCTCTCAAACACAAGTAATTTGAATGAAGTCAGAACAGAATTTATTTTTCTTTGATCATTGCAAATGCTTGAAATGTGCTCCCCTTCCCTCGACACTCCACCTCATATATCTGACAAAATTTGCTATCACATTCCAGTAAGGGACTTGTGTCATCATTGTGGTCACTTACCTTAATTGATCAAATTCAGTTCCATAAGATCTTCTGGATAATGGCAGTACACATTGTCCTTTAACTTCTTATTTTGGCAAGCTGCTGCCAGCAGCTTGTGGCCAGAACCATTGTGCTAGTGAGCCTCTGCCGTCGGCTCGGGCACATTCCTTTATGACCTTGGCATTAAATCGGTTTTCGGCAATGTCTTATTTACTGGGAGTTCTTTAATTTTATGAAGAACTGTCAAAATAAGTTCACTTCTTTTTTTGATTTTATGACCAGTTTAGGATGTATCTGTCACTTTAGATTTCATGAGAGCCCCATCACAGTGGGTTTACCTCCTTTGAAAATAAAGAATTACGAAATCCTATAAGAAAAAAATCAAGTAGATTCAAGTCCGGGTGGGCAACCAAATTGTTCCCTGTTGTGCTTGATTTAATGCAATAATGGAAAACATATTGCAGTATGATGAGGTTTGCTCTGTGGCGGGTGCTCCATATCTTGTTTGAGCCTTGCTCTTTGCATATCCACGCCCCTTCTCCTCAGGGATGCTATAAACTATATATCTGCCTGAAAACTGGCAAACTGACCTGTAGTTAATAATCTTTTAACTGTCACAGTTGCGCCTGTCTTGTGTTATAAAAAAAGGGCCCACGATCATCTCACTGCTCACTGCACACTATGTTGTGACTCTGGGGGAATAAAGGGGCTTTTCAGTCACCATGTCGGGTTTGTTGAATCCCACTCATTTTAACATTTGATTTGACTGTCTGTTCATCGTACTGTACTGTTCAGGTAAAAATGAACCTCTTCCCTAAACCATAAGGATTTGATTCGTTCTTGATTCTGCCTTATCTTTTTTAGATTGTGGTTAGGCTACCAGACGCGTAATCATAAACTTGCAGGTTCGGGGGTTTGAGCCACGGGCCTGACATTGTGTCCTTGGGAAAGGCACTTTACCTGAATTTTCCTCACTTCACACAGGTGGGGATGGGTACCCGGCTGTAGACCGCGAAAGATCTTGTCAGTATGTTAGTGTTTTAGCGCCTGTAAATGGCCGCTTGCACTGCCATCAATGGAAATGTGTTATGTAGATGTTAGATTTTGGTGAAGAAATCAAACAAGACAAAATGTTGGGGAAAAAATAAATGTTCTGGTTTGCTGGCAATCTCTTTAAACTAGCTCCCAAATGCTTCTAAAAGCACTAAATTTCAATTTCTTCGGAGGGGCTTTGCCACCTGAACCCCCGCTGGGACGCTGTCCCTGGACCCTGATGGGGGCCTAGACCCCCGGCAGAATTTTCCTTACTTTTCAGCTTCAGCTGGTGGAAGCACTCGTGTATGTTCAGGAAGGCGATACATTACATGCACTTGGGGAGATTTTCTGGAACATTGGCATCTATTTTGGCAATTTATGCAAATTAACATTTTTTGTAGTTTCATGCTTACGGTAGGCGAATAGTACCGAGCAAGAGGAGAGCTAGGAAAAATGTGGACTTATGGAGTAAAAGAAACTCTCTTCACCGCTCATCACTAAGCTGGCATCTGGGGTGTAGCAGTCAGGCACTTTGCTGTAGCACACTGGAGTCCTGAGGTTGATTCCCAAATTGGGGAAAATTTTTATTTAGTTTGTCAGTCTTTCTGCTGGGATTTTGTGTTCTTCACAGCCCAGCTTGGCCCTGACAGGCAAAGTCGAAAGTCGCCTCCACAATGATCTAAATTGTATTGATTGGAGCTTATGTTAGAAAGTTTTAAAAAGCCCCAATAACTCACCACTGGCACTCACACATGCACACTCACTCCCAAATGTGTTTTAGGCTGCAGAGTTGTACGTTCTTATACATGCTGTTCTTGGAAGGCTGTGTGTACTTCTTTATTCCTTTAGTTATTTGTTTCTTGAATCTTGTTTTAACACTGAATGACCATCATTTTGATAATGGGCTACTCTTTAGTTTTTGGTTCCTAGCCAGCTGTCTGGTGTGGTGATTTTTCTCTTTGAAAATCTGGATATTTTTCACTATGTGGGTTTTAGTTTTACTGTCAGAGACATAAAGTTGTCTGCTTGTACTAGCTACCCACAGGTGTTGGGAGTGGGAAGGTGACAGGTCCTACTTCTTTCCTTCCTTCACTCGTTTCTGTCTTGTCTTTGTGGGTGGTTGACGGGTGCTCTGATGTGGTTTGCTTCTTCTTTACTATCAAATGTCTGTCGTCCTTATCTCTCCTCCTTTTTTGTGTTTGTTACTCTTTTGTAATCTTCGTCACTTATATGACCTTAAATAGTGTTGCAAGTGCCGTAAAACTCTTACTAAAACTAAAACTGTCTTCTTTATCCCTGTACTAAATGACCATTATTGTATTGATGCTTCTCTGGGGGGCTTTCATGGCCAAGAGGTTAAGGTGTTCGCCTCTCATTCAAAGGTCCCGGGTTCGAATCCAAGTAGTGACGGAAAAATTTCTTCTCTAAAATTGTCTCCTTTCTCCTCCTTTCCTGCTCTCTAGCCATATTCTGCCATCTGTTTTCGTCTCCACTTTTGCCCTCAACCCTCTCCTCCTTTGCTCACTCCTCTGGGCTCCTGAACTGTTTCTCAGTGGGTGGTTGGCGGGTGCTCTGGTGTGGTTTGCTTCTTCTTTCCTATCAAACATCTATCGTCCTTATCTCCCCGTCTTCTTTTTATGTTTGTTACCCTCTTGTTACACCCCTAATCTTCTGGCGCTCATATGACCTTATGCAGTTGCGAGCACCGTAAAACCTCTACTAAAACTAAAACTGACTCTTTCAACCCCCCCCCGGCGGTGCTACTGACTGAAGTGTCTTATGCAGTTGCGTGCGCCGTATAACACTTACCAAAAAAAAATAATAAAGAAGCTTCTCTTTATTCAAACTCTTACTGGCCCTTGTTGAGTGAGAGACATGTTGCTTCAATTTATTATTTGCTGTCCCCCCAAAAAAAGATTAAATGAGGGCCATGCTAAATGCTTTTAGATGTTTATGAAGAATTATTAGGCTAGTTGCCTTTCACCATGCTGTACCAGCTCTTTTGTCTGGGTTACTGATTGAAAGCATGATAACTCTTTCCCCCAGGGCTGCAATAAAATGTTCAGAGACAACTCTGCGATGAGAAAGCACCTTCACACACATGGCCCTCGAGTCCACGTGTGTGCAGAATGTGGCAAGGCATTTGTGGAGAGCTCAAAATTGAAGCGACATCAGTTAGTCCACACAGGAGAAAAACCCTTTCAGGTCAGTGATTTGAATATTATTCAGATATTTGTAAAATTCTTTGTCAACTCACAAGGTTTCATAAAAATTAACAGTAGTATCTTTTTCTGCTTGATGTTATGTCTTTTGTTTGTAGATCATGCTGTATTCTAAATTGTTTTATAAAAAATTGCAAGATCTGTTTTCCACCCTTGGTTACAACAGCATCTTTGATTTTATAGAGGCCATTGGCCTTTACGGAAAATCTGATTGTTGACCCGAACCAAGCCGTGCAGTGAACTGTTGTGAATGCAACCAACTTGTTTTTCACACGCTCATATGACCTTATGCAGTTGCGAGCACCGTAAAACTTTTACTAAAACAAACAGATCATACTGTATTAAAATTGAATATAATACCGGTATAATAATGTGAAGAATTTCTTGTAAGAGTTGAAAGTATTAAGATTGTAGTACTGAAGATGAATGAATTGAAAGAATGGAGTTTATGATTTTACGCCATTCCCAAATGGGGGACATAAACTGTTCTTATGCACAGTAAAATTGTAATTGTAAATGGGCTGATTCATCGATGTCATGCTCGTAACTGTGCCTGAAGTGCAACAGGGAGCTGCTGCTTTTTCTTTCCTAATCCTTACTATCGTCATTTTCCTCTACTTCTTTTGTATGTTTGTCACACTCTTGTGACCCGCTATTTCCGAGGTGCCTTGATAGTCGAAGCAGACTTTGTACTGTTGAGGCTAGAGAGATGAGCAGAGTAAGTCTGATTCCCTGTGAGGACTTCTCTGTTGACATCCACCCCTTTGCGCTCATATGACCTTATGCAGTTGCGAGCGCCGTAAAACTTCTACTAAAAACAAAAAACAGTAAAACTTTGCTCTAATAGACACATGTATAGGGCAGTCACCTGTACAAATGTACAAACGACCACTTCCCACTCTCCTCCTCTTTCTCCCCCCACCCCCCTCTGCATTTTTTTGCTACATTATAATGATACTGCTGTCTAAGACATCAACTTTTGTCATTGACAATGAGGGGTAGTCTTGCATAATTTCAACTGTAGTTCTAGTTCATTTTGTGCAATGCTTTTTAGTTTTCGTTGTGAAAATAACCCAACTTATCTAAAATATTCTGTTAACTTTGGTTGAGGAGTATGATAAGCGGACTAATAGTTTATATTCTGTTACTTTGTTCATTTCAGTGCACTTTTGAAGGATGTGGCAAGCGTTTCTCACTGGATTTCAACTTACGAACACATGTTCGCATCCATACGGGTGACAGACCTTATGTGTGTCCATTTGATGGTTGCAATAAAAAGTTTGCTCAGTCCACCAACTTGAAGTCACATATTCTTACCCATGCAAAGGCAAAGTGAGTAGGGATTGATATAGTTTCTTTGCATCAAATAGTCCATTCTCATTATACTGCTGTCCTGTTCTTGTACCTTACACTGCCCACCCCTTGACCGTACGCTTCTTCTTGCTTTATAAAAAATAAAATAAATAGAAATCCTCTGTATATTGCTAGTTACAGTATGCTGCCAGAGTCTACACAAGTAACAAGCTTTGTTATATTAAAACGCATGTATGTGCTTAAACGGGCAGGGGCACCAGAGTGTAACATGTTTATAATGGCATTGTTTGTGATAGTCCCCTAAACTATTGTCTTTGGGTGGGATTCCATCTTATTTGGCATAATGGCACTCACATCTGACTTCAGACTGGCTGATCTCATAGAGTGCTGGATATAGTATGCAAAATTTAACAACTTAATATACGAAAGGTGGCTTTTTTGCTCGGTCATCATATGTATCTCTTGTCTATATTGTAAGATCACAACACAATTGCGTGATCATGTTTTTTATTTATTTCCTAAATTTTATTTATATTTTTTTTGGGAGAAAGGTGAAAGTCTCAATGATTAGATTATTTTTACATGAAACAGAACCCTGCTGCATATGAAACAAGTAGTTAATGTTTTTACCATATCAATAGCTGGAAACCTGAAGAAAAAAAAGAATAAAAGTGAGGCTATGCTGTAATGACTGTGACGATTCACGTTTCTACAGGACGACCACCAAATCCCACTTCTTTGTATTAGAGTATGATATTTTTTATTATTGATCAATACTTGATTACTCATGGATTTATGAAGTAGTTATTGTGGGTGAAAAGTGCTTGCAGCTTACACGTACATGTGTCTCACTGTGTAGACCTGGGGCGACGGGGGGCTCTTGTGGTCTAGAGATTATGGTGTTCACCTCTCATTTAATAGGTCCTGGGGTTTGAAACGGGGCAGCGACTGAACATTTTCTTCTCTAAAATTTCTCCTTTCACCTCCTTTCCTGCTCTCTAACCGTGTTTTGTTTTCTGCTTTCGCCTCCACTTTCTTGCCCCCCTCCCCTTTGCCCTCTCCTCTGGGCTCCTGACTCTTTCTACTGCTACTCTTTGGCACCTTCTTACTGCTGTCTTTCAGCCACACCCCTGATCTTATGGTAGGTAAGATCTAACACCTAGCCTTCTCGGATAAGGGTGAAAAATCTCGCAGGTCCCATGTGCAACTTGCGCATGTTGAAGGTCCATTGGTGGTCTTAAAATTTATAAAATAGTAGGCTTCAGAGGCCACCAGGGCAACAAAAAAAATTCAGATGAAACTAAATGTTTAATGTGTCCTGCTTGCTCATAGAATGAGCTTAGGCAGTTGTGAGTGCCATAAAACACTTGCGTGCCCCCCCCCCCAATAAAAACAAATAATGCAACACTGTGTTCTGTCTCCAGGGTAGACAGATCATCCAAAACAATGTTGGTGTTCTCTGACCAAGGCTCTGTGGATGGTGATCAGTGGTAAGTCGTTGTTTCTCCCAATATTGATGTTGTTTTTGTTTCTCTTTCTGCTGTAAGCAGAGCAAATATGTCACCCCCCACCCACCAAAATGACCAAGTCAAAGATTATTTATTTGCTGGCTGTCATTTTCATTTTCAAATTTCCTGAACTGATTTTATTGTTTGTGTGTATGTAGAGCACTATGGGACATAAAGTCTGCCCAATGGAAAGTTCTCTTCTCCCTGTCTTGTTTATCGTGTCAAATTCATACCTTTTGCCAGCAGTGTACTATGAGGTGAGGAGATTTGATTTTAAAAAAAAAAAAGTTTTAAAAGACATTCATTGTTAGAACCAATTCTTTTTAAAGAAAATAAGAGAGCTGAGGTTGTTGTTTATGGCTTATGTTTTGAAAATAAGTTCTCTGTAACATTTGTCTCAGGTGCGGCCGGTAATGGTATAAACAAGAAGAAAAGAAAAAGAGAAGTATCAGTTCGATAAGAGTTGGGATACCATTTTCCCTTCAAACCCCCC